TAACTCATTTAACCACTTCTTTCTAAATGTAAGTCACCTGGTGTAGATCGATGCACGTAAATATTTCTCTGTTATTGTATTACGGTTGAACATGATCGAAAGCCGGGAGGAGATCAGTTTCAGAATGACTCGAACCGATTGAAAACTGGTTTTTGGGGAGTGCATGTATTTTCGGCTTTTTTTTATTTTCAGTCAAACGTGCGGCAAGATAAAAAAGTTGTAATATTTCAGTAGAAACGAAAAGCAAGCCTTGCTCGTTAATAAATCTCTCTCTCTCAAAAATTGTCATAGTTTAAACCAAATTTAAGAGATCCTCGTAGCTATGAACACTACTGAAGTAAGGTCTGAAAAAATTCAGTCAGTAGAGCGCTGCACCGGTATCGCAGAGGTCATGAGTTCAAATCCCGTTCGGGCCTGAATTTTTTTTCAGGTCTTATTTTAACTACTAGTTCAGTTCGTAGCTGCGAGGATCGCTTATATTTGTTTATTCTACCGCAGTGCACATATGTGATTTTCATATATCTACAGTCATTATAAAACAAAATTGTTGTAAGAATAAACACAGCTCGAGACAGTTTAGTGAAATATTGCATAGCGAGATCGAGCGCCCACAGCTTCTCAGTATTTTATTTATCCCTGAAAAAGAGGTCACAAGCTGTCACAAACACTTTTATCTTAGTAGGGCTCAGTCCTCCTCAATGAGGCATGACGAGGCAATATTCAAATTACCAGTATTTATGTAAAGACCTAGCCACCCATCGATATCCTCATGTCACTCCGCCTAGAACTCGAAGAACAGTGTTTCTCAGTACCCGGTGAACATGAAGCTTCAAGTTTTTTCTCTCCTGCTGCTATGCGCGGGTTCGCTCGCAGATCTCTCTGCAGAATACAAGAACACCGCATCCTTGGATGGAAACAACTTCAAGATCTACTGGACTCACAATGCTACATCGAACATGATGTATATTGCACTCGAGGTGAAAGCGACGGGTTGGGTAGCATTGGCATTTGCTAAGGAGGAGAGCAGAAACATGGAAGACTACGATACCTGTCTTGGATATGTATCTGGTGAAACGAAAATTTTGAATGTGAGTGCACTTGATATTTGTTCGCCTCAACTTTAAAAACCTTATTGACGTGTTATTGCATCGAAAAACTGAAGATGCAGATTACCAGCTTTACGAATTGAAAACGTCAAATCGGTTAAAATTTCCTGATTTGTGGGGAACGAATGAAATGTTTCGTTTTTGTAAGAATTCGTTCACGCTTGTGTTTTTGTTAGAGGTGTTGTTGTTTTACAGTGTTCGACTGTTTGTTCCTGTGTTTTCTTCTTTTATCAGCCATGTTGTTTGCGTGATACCGGCAGGTGGTTCAAAACTTATCAGATATTTACTTGGAACACTTTACCTCTTGTCAATATCACCCAAACGAAAACAAAATCTAGCCAATGAGAACCAGCAATAATCAATATCTTACTGGAAATGATGACTGAAACCGTCATGCACATTATTCTCATGATTGTTCAAAGAAAACAGTTCTGCCTCATAGTTTGTTTATTTGGACCAATTACAGCTCAGGTATATTTCATAGATCATTCTTTGGTGTTGTGTTCCTGTCATGGCAACGTCAAATGATTAAATAAAGAGCCCAATCAGAAATATGGAAATTATGCACTCTCGTGTTGTTTTCATGTTGACATGTTTTAACCTTTTTATGTTTTCAAAATAACAATAAAAAAATGGAAATATTGGCCCGGTATTTTTTCCAGGATTTCCGCTCTTTCTTGAGTTCTGTCACCGACCCTCCATTCCGACATTTTCGAGAAACTTTCAAAAGAAAATGAAACTAGGCTTGGGCAACAGACCGTATCTGTTGAATAAGTCGAATAACTGTAAACATTCTGAAGCTCCGACAATTCGGCATAATAATTGACGTAAGTGCGGTTTTCCTTCAAATCTTAAATCTGAGTGATACATGGTCATTATCCAAATTACAAAGCAGTGAGCTTGAACTGCTGCATCGGTTGAATAAGTCCCTGCGGATTGTAATTACGTATTCGACATTCGGTATCAGAAAAGTCCATCAAAGACTCGCTGGAAGGAAAGTTTGACGTTTAGTTTTTTAACCCAAATATTAACAACAAACCGGAACGCTGAAATGCAAGCAAAATTTTCACTATCACGGAAAGAAATACCTCCATACAGCAATAAAATGTGTGCCCACCAACCTCAAGCAATCATGGACTTTTTTATGCTTGATATTTTAATTTTCCCGATGCGCTTTCAACATGAAATTTTCGCAATTTTGGTAAAATCGCATTACTGCCTGTGCAGTATCGCGTCAAAGATATCGCGAGCGTTATATTGAGCGAAAACTCATTGACTTGCGCTCACGTGCAGAGGATGGCTCAAAAACAAGGTGGAGAAAAAAAATGTGGAGATGTTTGTACTGTTGGCTTTATCTTCTGGCCTTATTTAGGTACACATATTGTAAATCTCAAAACCCCATTTCTACTTTACTGTATCAGTTTATATTACATGTGAGTTGGTGTGAAAAAAAGATTACTTTTGCAATCATAATATCTAAGTCTTTATACTTCCTAATGTGGCATGATAGAGATAAAGAAGAAGCAAAGAAAATTATCAATTCAGAACCCATTTGATGAACATGAAGCACTGAGTCCTATTTTGCTTTCAAACTTTCAGGACTATTTGACAAACGGTCACAGTACACCTCCCAAGGACAATCAGAATGACTGTATGCTTGACGAGGCCATGCAAAGTGGGGGTACTACTACAATCAAGTACCACAGGAAGGTAGATACTGGTGATTCACAAGATATCGTTATTGAGGTAAATTGTTTTCCATTGCAATTTTCTATTGAGGGATTCATCCGTGGCCATCATGACCACCGACTAATTATATTATTGCAGGTGGCATCTGCGGCGTAGCAGCACAAAATCAGCAGAACTATGATGTTCTTACACATATCACTGCTGATATATAGCTGCTGTAGGGCTGCCACGCGTGATAATTTCGGCTGAGTCATGAGCTTACAAGGGGTATGCAGAAAGGCCTTTTAGAGGCGGGCGAAGGAAGCTTTAGCTTAGCCGAGGCTGTTCTCCTTATGAGATCGCATTTTAAATTTAATTCAAGCATCCCTTTGGTTAAAATGGAAGTATGGCAAGGGTAGTTTGCTAGATATGGTGGTCTTGTGGGATTTACTTTGAACTTTGGATTGTCCACTCTCCTCAGTCACCTGCGTCCCTTTCCCTTCAGGAGTTTAAAAGGGATTTTTTTGAGCCATCAGAGAAACGTAAACAAAATTCCTGCGGCCCATCTAGTGGGAGTTGAAGTATTCTTAATCTCTTAATGTTTTTACTCCCAAGATCTCATTAGTAATTCTCCCTACTGTCTGCCTTATAGTTCTTGTGATGTTAGTATGGAGAATTTGGTAGTGGATCAACTAATAATCCCCTAATTGATATTTTTCTCTTTTCCCATCACTTGTCTGCTTGATAGTGCACTGATATTGTAAGGAGAGAGTCTTTCTTGGTCACTCATGGGAGGTAAAGGGTTAAGGCTACAAAATCTGAGATAAGTTGACGTTGTGACGCATCATGCCCTCGCCCAAAGAGGATCGTTTGCATGCCTCTAGTAGTTGTCATACACTGCAATGCAATGACACTGGGGCAGAGTGATCCATCGTTAAGTTCAATTTCTGGGATTGCCGTCTCTGCCACAATAGCTGCAATTGTGGCTGGGCGGCAGTGAAAGAGTGCATTTTTAAGTGAAGTTTCTTTTCCACCAGATTAATTTGAATCACACCCTGCCCCATACGAAACTGGTACAGCCTAGAGGAATCCCAAATGATTACCACGAGTGCATTGCCTAATTTCGAATGTTCTTGTTAATCGGACCTTCTTTATTGATTCAGCTTTACTCAAATTGTAATTAAAATAATTTCCCTTCGGGCAAAGCAACAAGAGCAAACCATAGTTTTTCCTATTGAGTTTATTGCCGAATTATTATTGTTGTACTAGTGGTTTTAATGACTTTTTCTCTTCTTTTCAGAAAGGTGAAATCGTTGTCGTGTGGGCGTACAAAAATTCTGTAACTTCCCTCTTAAGACATGATGAAAAGGGTTTTAAGACTTTGACCATGATAAACTCTGGTGAATCAGCCAAGCTCAAGAGTTTCTATTGGAAAATGACGGTTGCATCTCTGTCTGTCGTTGTTGCCTTGTTTTTCAAATGAAATGGAATCCAGCCACATTCCCAGCGTGTATTTTTTTGGGACATCTTCTACCTCCCCTCCCCCCCTAAATGTTGGTCTGCAAAATGAGATAAACTCATTGGCAATAATGATTGATAACATTGGAAAGGGAAGAGGGGCAAAAGGACATTGCAGACGTCTCTCTGGAGAAGTGTCTCAACTATTTATATCTGGGAGTGGAGCTTTGCTCTGATAAAGCTTAATTAGCCGTAAGCCTTTGCAACTTATTATATACGTTTGCTGATTTACGCCAAGCAATATGTATGCTATTTGACAAATATTTGTTGTTTGTTACAGTTTGTAATCTTAAGGGAAAATTTCCATTGACTTGCCTAATAAATTTTGTTTACTATGGACTGTGAACTTAAATAAAAAGTGAATACAAGCACATTTCTTGAAGCGGAGGTAAGTTTAATCCTGATCAATGGAAGGGTTATAGCGAAGTAAAGCAATACTGAAACAATTACGGATTCATCTCGATGCTCAGCTCCATATTGAAAAGTGTTCTCGAAAATGAGCAGCCTTCCGACATTCCAAGCTGAGTCCGTCGGGTGATTTCAAGTCCTGCTAAACCCAAAGATTATTTTCTGATTAAATAAATAACCTTGTTTACGTGATGGCAAAGTCGGAAAATTATTGTCCCATCTAGTTTAGTTGTTTTTTTTAAATGAATTTTCAAAGATCCTCTAATTTGAGCACCTTCATGTTAACGACCGGGGGAACCACTCCCGGGGGAAAGGGACGGGTAGGCTCGTGACGTCATCCAGGGAATTGATTCGACATGATTCATTTAGCAGGTTAGTGAGAAAGCAGGCACTGCAACCTAGCAAACAATTGCAGAATAAGGCTCAAAAAGTCTGTTATTGGACTGCAACATTGATAAGAAAAATTAAATCTCTCAGTTACTACGTAAGCTATGATTGGTCAATTTAGCAGGCAGTATTTCACAGCACGACCCACTAAATTCAAAAGTTTGTTTGATTACAATATTTCCTCTCTGTTTGAACCCAGAGATACAATAGATATCTTACTTACTTCGTTTACTCTGTCCTAACTGTAAGTTATGGGATCTCGTTTTTTTCACAATTTCCGCTTGGATTTATGACCTGCTCGCTTCGCTTCCCAACAATTGATAATAAGCTGGAAAGGACATTACTCATGAGTCGCGTCATGGCTTATAAGAAAAACATCTCTGGCCTCTTCCCGCTAATTTCAAGATCAAGATGCTTCAACGAGGTGCCTTCTAGGTCAAAACTGGGGCACAAAAGGGTTTGTAGCATTTTGTAAGGGGGCTGGAATTCGGCGACGAGCGACTAAGGGCTGTTGAAGCTTCGAATTGATAGATGCATAAGTGGGTTAAGATCTATCATTGGCGTTTCAATTCCCAAACCACAAATGTGAATCAAGCGTAAAGGTGTTATTATTTTCTTTTGTCGATTCCTTTGACACAAAGCTTTCAGAGATTCATTTTGATGTTAATTATTACACAAAGTTTGCTTTGAACTCTACCGCTCTCATTTTTTCGTTGTCATAATTTGTTTTCGCATTAGCCAACAATGCTTACAAGGGATAAAACCTACAACTTGACTAAGGGATTGTTGTAAGGGATTGTTGATACATGATTTGTGATAGCCTTGGGTTTTAAAATAGAAGAGACGGCACTCAGAAGAAAACCGTCAGCATGGTTTAAACGTGTGATTCCTGTGTGACTATTATTCAAAAATCTTATGGGCGCCCTTCTCCGAATAAGCACCCTTCTCTCTTCTTTCACTTTCTTAAATAGCAGGGATGCAAGGAAAATCTATTTCTACTGCTACTTTATTTATAATATTTCAAGCTTCGACTACAACGTAATCAGTACTAATTAATTGTGTCGTAATAGGCACCCCCTCGATTAAGCGCCCTCGTTCCAATAAGTGCCCCTCCTTCTAGCTTAAATTTTAAACAAGCACCCGGGCGCTTACTAGCAGGAATATTGTAAATAAAATAATCGAGCTTTAACCTTCACCATGCTGTTCTTTGTAATAATTTGGACGCGTTCAAACCATGAATGAGAAGGATAGCTAGTTTAGGTCATGTAACCTAGATTACGGTAAACGGATTAGAAAACTGTGCATATGAACACTCCAGACCGATTACCTTACTAACTTATGAAAATTTATCTCATCTGCCCATTCTCAGAATTTTTACCGGGCCAAAAAATTAGCCCCGTGACGATAGCCGAAAAATCCCAGATAAACAAGTAGTAGAATATATAAATTGCTATGGTAACAAGGTCACTGTTGTCCTCATTAATTTATATAATGCAGGTGGTGAAAAGAATGATGACCGCTGACATGACTGACTGACTGTGATTTAAGGAAAAAAATAAATAATGAATAAAAAAGAGGCATTAAAATCTGGATTGATGATTAACCAAGATACGAAAATAACGGTGATGAGTTAGAGAGATCTTTTTTTATTTTTACAACTTATTTTCTTTTTACTTTGTGATAGGAATTTTGCTCAAATTCGGTAACTTCGTGAATGGGAACTAATATATAATCTATTTTTGGACAAAATGTTGAAAATGTTTGCAGATTAGTTTTGCGTTTTGACTTAAATGTAAATTAATACATATTCTGTTTCTTTCAGTTTCGTGTACTTCAGTTTCGTCGATTTTGTTTGATGTTCCTCTAGAGAGAAGGTCATAGACTCAACACATTAGAAAACAAATACCATAAACTATCATAACTTTTATTGTTATTGTTATTATAATCATAGTACCACTTATATATGTTTGACCAGAATTATTTGCGATGGTAAGTGCCGCTGTTACTCTTTTTTCCGACCTCACAAGTTAACTTGGAAGCGCGAGAGCCTGGGTCAGGCGTGCAATTCTTACTAACCCCACTCATGCCAAGTAAACTCTGCTTTCATTTTTGTCTCAGTCATGAGGAATACCGAAGAGAAAAAATTCCAAATATGACCAAAATAAAAGAATAATATTTTCGCCACAGATATTGGAAAACATTCTTGAAGGAAAGGGATTAGAGAGGTTATGCGAAATGCTGCGGAAATGCCTTTATACGCAACTTCCCCCCGGAAACTCAACCTTGAGCGTGGCGCCTAAGAAGGAAACTTGCGATTGCGGGCTCAAGGGGCCGCACCTCTATCGCCTCTTGTCTTGTTCGCTGGTGTGTTGGCGTAGCATTTTGACTGCGAAGGAATTTTGACTTTGTCTCCGTAATAACCGGTAAGTAGTTGCTATTTCTGTTACTTTTGTACATTGGAGTATTCTATGTGTATTTTTGTTCGTTTGGGCGCACGAATTGTCGCTATGAATTAAAAAACCGGCCGTCCACGCGCAGAGTGTTACGATTTCGTAATATACATTTACATTTGTAGTTTTTTCTCGTCGTAATTTCTCTTCATTTCGGAATCGGTATTGAATATTTATTCTCTAGATCTGTTTCCCTTGCCTTGTTTAAGCAATGTGACTGTCAGTGGGCTGATTGTGTTCTATTTTCTGGCCTTAAAGTTTCACTTTTCTTATAACGTTCGTTTGCTAATTTCCGCATGTGCTTGTTTCTATACGATGGGTCAAATTCTTCGATCGGTCTTTTCCTGTACCAGCCCAAATACCTGTGCATCACGACGCTGTTTTCGTCTAAAGCAGTAATTGTTGATTTCTATCCATATCACTCGAGTCTATCGGTTCAAAAGAGATTGTGAATCGTAACATTTCGAACGAAAGATGGTTCTGGCCCGTCGAATTTCCTGGTGACCGAGCACTTGATGTTACTCGCAACTATAGTTTCGTATTGGCAGTGTTTCGGAAAATAAACGCAATTTTACTTGTAGTTTAAAAATACAAAGCGATTCCTGTGTTATACCCGTGATAATAGAAACCTTTTTGAGAAAGAACCTCTAATATAGTTGGTATTTTAATGGCGATCTCAAATAACGCTCCTTTAAATACAGAAATGTTGACGATGCGATTGTCAAGTTAATCCACGAACAGCGGGCGTGTTTTCACACGATTTTCATTTTTCCACGTCTAGTTCGGATGAAGTACATAATAAACATTCTAAAGTACTTGTTTGGTAGCCATTGATTTCCGCGCACACGTTATTTCATTTGTAAGTATTTGTAGTCAAAGAGGAGAAGACAGCTATAATTTACAGATGCTTCACTGTTATTACGTACCGAAGAACCTCTACACTCTTGTGATTCTAAAAGTCTAGAGCCGTCGATTTTTTAAACCCCAGTTGCCTTGAAAAGCCAATTGTACCAAAGATAAATCATTTTAACGATATTTTTTATGTAGTTAACAGCTACACTGTGGTACAGGTATGCCTTGATATTCTGCAAAATCACAAATACCTTGACTTTTGCCTAAAGCGTGTTGATTTTTTTTATCAAGAAAGTCGATTCGGTAATAAATAAATGAACTACCAAACTTGCAAGTAATGAAATATCTTCCTAAATCTATACACTCACTGTAATTGTGTGTCAGCTCTGCCCATAAGAAACCAAGCACCCTTCTCTGGCTCTTTAAAGGGACCTTTATACAAAAGGAGGAAATTACATGATCATGCTTTGATCTTTGGTTCAATACAAGAGAAGTTTCTTATAACACCTTTGTATTGTTAAAGAGTTTTTGTTTTTCGAAGAAATCAGGGATTAGCAGAAACTGAATTGAAGGCAAACCTTCGTGATTGTCCTTAGTTGCTTTCTATATCGACAAATTTGATTAACCAAATAAAATACTGGTAATTTGCAGCAATTAATATTTATGAAATTCTTATTTTTTTTTTTGATGTATGGAAACCAATCAATGTGGCATAGTTTTGGTAAAGGTGGAGTTGAACACTTGTTAGGTTGTTTACAGGGCTAAAAACCTCTTTGGTAACCTTTTTTTAGGAATCATGGGGCCTAAAAGAACTATTTAAATACAGTACTTCTCTGAAGTAATTGTAAATCTTGTTATGTTCAAGCAGATAATGTTAGCTGTCTTGATGTTAATACCTGCCAAAAAATAGGGTTACAGTCAAGAGTGACACTGGTTGAATGTTTTTAAACTTGTATGGTTAACATATGTATGTGTTTGTGTTTGTGTTTGTGTTTTTAGAAAGGGTGTTAATGTTCTAATTTAATTGAAAGTAATGTCATGCAACCACTTGAAAGTGAAATTGGATGACTGTTTGTGGAGAGGTATATAAGATATTTAAAAAGCTAAAAGTTCTACATTATTGAAAAAAAGCATCACGTAAGTTACATCAGTAAGTTAAAAATCATCTAAAAATTAAAAGAGTTAAAAAGCTTTTTTAAAAAGATATGTTTTTAAATGTCGTTTAAAAATGTCTTTGGAACTACTGGATCTTAGTTCAAGTGGGATTGAGTTCCATAGTCTTGGTGCCGCCACAGCAAACGCTCTCTCTCTCTATATGTTTTCATTCCAGCTTTCGGGGTCACCAGGTGTTGAGAGGACGATCTTAATTTCCGTTCAGAGGTGTGGTACTTAAATAATTCACTGATGTAGGAAGGCACTGTTCCATTGAGAGCTTTGTAGACCAGTAGGAGAATTTTAAAAACTATACGGATTACAATCATCTCCAGAGTATTATTGTTATCCTTTTCAAACTTTGGTGGTATTCCTTTCAGTTGCAGATGTAAAGAATGTGACATCTGCTTGGCATTGCATTGAACAAGTCTCCTTCATCTTGAAACTAATTCACTACCTTTTCCTAATCATTCTTTGCTTTGTTCATTTACTCTTGAAAAGCTTTGGGTAAATTTCAACCTTTGGGATTACCCAAAACCATGTTTGTGGGCTATCATCAATAACTAGTTGGCTTCACAAGCATTCGTATTAACTGAGCCAGTCATTTTTTACCATTCATAATTCTACATTCCTGATTGAAGACATGATTTTCAGGAAAAGATAGCATTCTTGCACTTATTTACTCTCTTTGCAAGATTTCCTTGCTAATTTGAGCTAGGTCATAGCCTGCTATCATCTCTTCTGCTAGATGTGTTAATCTTGGCTTTTGTCAGTGGTTAAGACAATTTTCTCTTCATTGGAAACCCCATGATGAATTTTGAAACAGTCACATTGATCTTCATTCCCTGGCCTGATTGAGTCCCCAAAACACAATAAACATTGTTAAAAGAAAGCTTTTAAAGCCACTTTTGGGTTGTATTTGTTTGTACAAACCTAGTTGGCTCACCAACTAGTTTCTGTGTGCTCAGTTAGCTAGACCATAAGATCTGAAGTTGTAAGGTTTGATTCCTTGCGAGGGCCAGAAACTTTTGCAAAGGTTCATGACAAATGAACAATATCTTTCTTTAATTTCCCCCCCTTATTGGAACAACTGCAAGGAAGGATTCAAAAATTGAAAGCATCTGGTGCTTTCCAATGTTCAGATTCAGCCAAAAGTTGTATTTCTGAACTGTGAACCTGCTAAAACTGCCGTGTGAACTGTACCTGTCAGAACATGCTAAAGAAATGTAAAATTTTCTTGACAGAAAATTGCTTAAAGTGTATGTCAATGTTGTAAGAGAGTGCTAGCTTCAACAAATAACAAATGAAGAATCATGTTTGGTTTAAGTGACTTCCACTAAAGTCATGTTGATAAAGGAAGTTTATTCAGTCATGTCAACCAAATGGCTTTTTTTTTTTTGGACAGGGTTTTCTCAAAATGTCTTGGGATAGTTATATTGACAACCTAGTTGCACAGACTAAAGATGCCTCTGGCACTGCTCATGCAGATAAAGCCTGCATCATTGGCATAGATGGGGGAGCAGCATGGACGTCAAATGGCCATGCCTGTGCCTTACAGGTAATACTATGGTAGCTTCTTTGTACATGTTTGTCAAAAAAAGCATTAAAAAATGCATCAAGATTTCAGCTTTCAGCTTTCAGTGGGTATCTCACCACTTGAGAAGAAGTAGACAGTCTAAGAGTAGAAACTGACCTTGATTCAGTGAGATATTAAGAGCAGTGGGCACTTGTTAATTGGAACCCAAACTAAAATTCTCCGCTGTTTACCTTCATTTTACCCCTGGCACATGTAATTCAAATGTGGATGAGTTCAAACCTACTGTTAATTAGAATCAGTCTGTGTTCCCCTCCAGTGCCTGTAGTAATTAACAGTTGGAGTTTCTAGGTAAATGCTGTCCTTCAAAATGATACAGTGAGATGATAGTAAAATGCCAGTTAAATTCAAAGTGCATTTGCTGTTTTCATGGTACAATTTATGATATATTGTTTTTACCCAGTGTGTTTGTTGCAAAAAAAGGAATGAAAATTCCAAGTTGAGAAATTATTCAGTTTGCTGGTTTTTGTTTATTTGTTTTTTTCTTTTTGAAAAATAAAGATCATGAGGTAATGCAGTGTGGGGATAATTGTTTGTTAAGTTTCAAACCTGTCTGCAGCTCAAACTATTATTATTATTATTGTATTAACATGTTCAGTCAATATTATTAAACTCTTTATAGAAATTGTATTACCCTGTAGAAACAATTTTTATCACAATACATTTATTCATTCAATTTTATTCTATTTTAACCCTTCAACTCCTGAGATCTTATTAGCAATTCTCCCTACTGTCTGTCACACAGTTCTTGTGATGTTAGTTTGGAGAATTAGGTATAGGATCAACTAATAATCCCCTTATTGATATTTGTCTTTATTCTCGTTATTTGTCTGCTTGGTACTGCATTGATATTGTAAGGAGAAATTGTATCTTAGTCACTTGTGAGAGTTAAATGGTTAACTCCCATGATCTGACTGTAATTCTTTCTTCTAGCTGCTAATCATTTCCTTGTAAATTAGCTGGGAGAATTTGGTGTTAGATCAAGATAACAACTTTTCCCAAATAAGTTTGAGTATTCTCATTACTTTCTTGCCGGATAGTGAATGGATATTATAAGGAAATGTAATATGTTAATCACTTCTCAGAGTTAAAGGGTTAATTCATCTTCTGTTTTTGTGATTGTTTCTCTCCAATATCTGGTGTAATTTGTACAATAAACTAGTGTGTATGTACACATGTGTGTTAGTAAATCACTGTGTAGTAGAGAAGAATCATTTTAGGTGCAAGTGGACCCTCTTAAAGGAAATTAATCACCATTTTTCCTTGTTGAATAATTTTTTGTTTGTATTTTTCCCTCCAGTTACAAGGCAGTGAGGGTGCAAACATAGCAAGATGTTTCAAGGGCAAGGATTTTTCAGCATTTATGGCAGGTGGTATTCATGTAGAGGGCACAAAGTACCAATTCTTGCGTGAAGAAGATGGGAAGTTAGTTCTGGCAAAAAAGAAAGAGCATGGATCCATCACTTTGCAGGCTTCCAAGACAGCAGTTGTCATAGGTCATTGTCCAGAGGGAGGTCAGCAAGGCAATCTCAACAAAGGTGTTGCAGTAATTGCAGAATACCTCGAAAGCTTGGGCATGTAACGCAAGGTTAAATTCTGTTAGCACTTTGTAGTTTGTGGTAGAAATCTGGTCTTCGTTTCTTAACCACATTACCCAATTTATTTTTTTTGTTATGTTTTCATTGAGGCCTTGCTGTAGACAAATTGGAGTTCATGAAATCAACTGGTTGCCAATGAAATGTTATGTAGTGTTCTGATGATGATGATGATGATGATTGCAATTTAAAGGCCCCCCTTTCAACAGGTTACGAGTTGACAAAATATTACATCGTAATTATTGTTTTGAATAAAGTAGCAAATAAATTAGCATGATTAATTAATGTAGTTGGTTTCAAAAGTGCACCTATTGTAATTTTCAAAAGGGTGCACTCCCTAAGTATTTTGTCTCAGGAACTTGCTGTTCAATTCTAATAAATCAAATTCTTTGAGCTTTTCATTGTGTGAAGCACTGGTATCACCACAATTTAACCCTTCACTCCCAAGATCTGATTAGCATTTCTTCCTACTTTCTGTCATAGAATCTTTTGATATTACTTGGTAGAATTCAGTATTGGATTAGCTTAACCCTTATACTCCAAAGATCTGACTGTTAATTCTCTCCTCTAGCTGCTACACATTTCCTTGTAAATTGGTTATGAGATTTTGGTGTTTGGTCAAGGTAATATCTTGTACCTGATAAGTTTGAGTATTCTCACCACCTGTTTGCTGACTAATGTATGGATAATATAGAGGAGACGTTACATGTTAATCACTTCTGACAGTTAAAGGGTGAAGGTCCCCCAAGTTATATTCTGCTTTATTCCCATCACTTTTCTTCTTGATGTTGTACTAATATTGTGAGGAGAAGTTCTCTCTTTGTTATTCATGAGAGTTTAAGGGTTTAATGCTTGCTAAAACAATAATTGAATGAATGTTTCAACAAACCCATTTAAATTTTCCCTCCCCACCACCGCACGCTTGGTTATGTTAGTGGAAAAAATTTATGATGGATCTGATACCCCTGGTAGGCTTTAACGAAGCTGTGTACAATACTCTGTTTTCTGACTTTTCAACTGGAACAACGAACCGCCTTTAAAAGGACGATGGGAGTTCATTTATGGAACAAAACAGAAATGGAATATTAAAAAGATGTGAGCTGGGTACACCGTATTTCCTTGAATAAGCGCTCTTACTCAAGGCACAATGTTATGCAATTGCACCCCTCGAGTCAGCGTTGCCCATCCCTCACTCTACATTGGGGATACAAGGAAAACATGTTTTTAATGCCACTTCATTTATGACTTTTAAGCTTCAACAAAAGCGGAATCGGCATTAAAGAGTGGTTTCTTTTCTGTTTAAGTCATTTCCAGTTATTTCTATCTCTGCTTACCGTGTTCTTTATGTGCTTTTTCTGGGATTGTAATTTTTGTCCTGTTGCTACGCTCACCCAGTAAGGGAACCCCTTCCAATAAACTCCCCCTCCATTAAGCCGGACGTGCGCCTATTCGAGAAAATATGATAATCAGCAGAAGCCCCTACTTTCCCGTCTGTGCCT